GCGAATCACATACGCTAATGAGTGCTTAAGAATTTGTTGAAATTTAAAAAAAAAACTGGATCTTTATAAAACATCGATTAATTGAAAAGTTTTGCCTAGTAACCAATTTAAAGTTTTCCTTGCTTAGTGGTTGTAAAAGTAATCTTAGAGTAGTGCGTAGCAGATATTGGGGATTGATTTACTAAGAATTATGGTTTTTTTTTCGCTTTTTTTTCTACGTTTCAGAAAAAGAATTGATAACTGACCTTGAAACTGTATGTTTTGCTGACATTTGAAAATTTCAAAATCATAATATACATCATTTTCAACCCAAAATTTACTTCAAAATTGAAATTCAGAGTTGAAACAGCAATATAAAATTATCAAGTAGACCAAATCACTTAAAGACGTTTAGCAAAGGATTCATGGTATTAATTCAGCTTCGGATTGTTGAACGGTCGTTGAAACGATACATTTTTCCAAAATTCAGAGTTGAAACACCAATATAAAATTATCAAGCAGAGAAAATCATTTAAAGACGTTTAGCAAAGGATTCATGGTATTAATTCAGCTTCGGATTGTTGAACGGTCGTTGAAACGATACCTTTTTCCATCAAAAATTCCATTTTCAAGTAATTTTTGTTCAAATTGGATTAATTTGATAGATAGAAGATGAAGCAGAAACTGAGAAAATGAGATAGAAACTCGATTTAATTCATTAAGAGTTTTGACATAATTTTACTAAAATTTAGCTTATAAACCATAATTTGAGAAAAACTCCGACATAAAAAGTGTCAAAGATTGGTATTTATGTGTAATTCATCAGAAAAGTCTGTTATCCTTTGATATATAAGGTAACTTTTTATGAAAAATCAGATGTTTTGAGGATAGTGTTTGTAAAGTAAACACAATCCGACATCTTTTGGAAGAAGATACATGAAGCATAAAGCAAAAACAGCTTTCAAGATCTACATTTCATTATTTTTTTAAACTATATAGAGTTTTCTTCTGCTTAATAAAAATCCGAAAATTACACAACTGTTCCAGTTTGCACCTTGATTTCCTTTGCTAAATCATTTTTTGAGACGCGCTCTTTTAGAAGTTTTTAGATATTGTAGATGTTAGGAACTAGGTTCCCTTGCGTATTTCCGGAGAATTTCAGAAAATAACTAATAGAGCTGCTCCTAATTTGTTCTTAAATTGTAAAAACACATTTATATTCTCATTTTTTACATATTTTTTTGAATGTTTTAACCAGCACCGATTCTTTCTCAATTCGATATTTTTGAGAAAAGTTCCCTTTCAAATAAGAAAAAAAAGCTATTTAATATTTATTTTGAAAGAAAAGTGATAGTTATTGACACAAAAATTGTAATTTTGTTGAAATAAGTTACTCTAGCACCTATCAAGACAACCTTGAGGAAGACAATTACAATTTTTATCGTAATAATCAGATGGTGTCAATTCTAATTTCATCTCTGCTAGCAAATTGTTCGTTCAATTGATACTATTTTCCTCCTAAATTCTCCAGTTCTGACCAAATTTTCTTGCAAAATGTGTTCAATAGCGAAAACATGCATTAAGCAGAAAGCAGGAATAACCTTAAAGCATAGAGCATTTCTACAGAAAATCATAAAAAATTGACTATTTTTTCAGAAAAGTGATAGATATTTATCCCAAAAGTTGTATTTTTGCTTAAATAGTTTACTGTAGCACCTAAAAAGGGAAATTTGAGGCAGACATTTACTATTTTTATCAAAATAATCAGACGGTATCAGTTCTAATTTCATCTCTGCTAGCAAATTGTTCGTTCGATTGATACTATTTTCCCCCTAAATTCTCCAGTTCTGACTAAAATTTCTTGCAAAGTGTGTTAAATAGCGGAATCAGGTATTAAGCAGAAAGTAAGAATAATCTTTAAGAATAGAACATTTCTACGGAAAATTGTGAAATTATGTTGCAGAAGCAACAGAGAGATAATCATCAGTTATGAAGAAGATTTTGATGAATTTGAGCAAATATCGAAAGTATTTTTAAGAAAAATTTATCTCGTTTTTAGTCAATTTTAGCATTTAACTGTTCATTTTCCATCATTGATCTGAAATTCTGTACTATTAAGGTGAATAACTTCTCTGAATTTGTAATTTTTGTACAAATTTGGGTTAATCATTGAGCAAAAATCTAGAAATTTTATGGAATATTGCTCTTAATGTTCATTTGTATTGAGAGTCCTATTTCAATTCTCCCTGAATTGGACAAAAAAATTAGTTAAATATCCAATTAAAAGGTTGAAAATGGAAAATTTTTGATAAATTAGAATAATTTTTATTTTACTTTCTTAAGAATTACGGTTATTTTCACTATCTTCCACAAGTTTCAATTTTGATTCAGCTTTTATGAGCTTTCTTGTTAATGTTGAGAGCATTATATAACCCGCTTTGTTACTCAAATAATGCTTAAATTTATCGTATTTCAAATTTTTGTGAGAAAAGTTTGGAAAAATCCATATTTCTATTCAAAGTTTTGTATCAGTGTCTCAACATGATGCCAATTGAAATACAATTTGAGCTTAATTTTAAACTCTAAACGTATTTACTTTTTATTCAATTAGATCAGAAGCAACAAAAAACTAGCCAAAATCTTGATATTTTTGCAGTTCTTTCCAAAAATTTGCAGTTTGTTCCAAAAACTTTGAAATTTTTGCAATTTTTTCAGAAAACTTTGAAATTTTTGTACTTTTTCGCAAAAACTTGAATTTTTTCCTAAAATTTGACTTTTTTCAAAGTTTCAGTAGGTTTCGGCATAAATTCAGGTAGATAGAAAGTAAGAGTATCCAATAAATTAGATCGAATTACAATAAAACTAGAGTGTTTTAAAGTTTTTACGAAAAATTTTCAATTTTTGTGACAAAAACTCCAAGTTTTTGCCCAAAAACTCTTACCATTGACTTACCATGTACAAGAAAACTGAATAGATAACCTTAATTTCACAACCTACACGTAATTAACCAGTATTAATTAACAGTTAGATAATGCGAGCCAAAATTTTTGCGAAAAAAAACTAGACATTTCCACACAAAAACCAAAATTTTTTTCAAAAAACATGATTTTTTTCTCGAAGTTTCGTTAGGTTTCAGTATAGTTTTAGATGATTTTCTCGTTGAATCAAACCTGTAAAATAATAATCAAAACATCTAAACCGTAGAAGCTAGCTAAGAAACGCAAGTATCGACAAAATCGAACTCAAAAAATTCGGGCGCCAAAAATTTTTCTGAAACTTACTATCTGAAACCTCGTATCTTAATACATTGGGAAACTTATTCCCTATCCTAATACATTGGAAAATCTATAGCTCACCTTAATACATAGCTCGGAGACCGGATATTCTATTCCCTATCTTAATACATGGGGGTCTCCACCCACCCCCCCCCCCCCCCTCCCCCACTCTCCCTCGCCCTTCTACTACTTGCGCATGAAGTCGTTCAAGAAGTCTACCAAGCGGATTCGCATCAGCATCAAAAATGAAACATCAACACAATAAAAAAGTTTACAGCCCAAATATTGTTGATAAAATACCGATTGAACTTAAGCATTATTTGAGTAATACCGATTGATACAGGAAACTTTTAAAGCTATTTTGAAATACGAAGTTAATTTCAAAATAGCTTTAAACTTTGGAAAAAATTTTTTTACCGTTGGCAGACAATATATGAAAATCACCAATTTTAAACAAAAATTGATCGCAGGGCTTTTTTAAATTCGCTGGAAACTCTACACAACGCCAACCCAACAGATTGTTGTAACCGCGTCAAAGAATTGAATGAACCAAATTTGATCAATTTTTTTTTTATTTAAGTTGATTGAAAAAGTTGTACCCGGCTACAGCTCTTTGAATATTCAAAAATTGCATGAATGACTTTTTCTTTATAATTATCCCATGTAGATAAAACTGGATCAGTAGGTATTTTATTTGATTTTGCCGAGAGTTCAGATAGTTGAAGTCATTTTTTTCTAAACTGACGCCTTGAGCGTTTTTCTTCAAACTTTTACACTCCCTGGCGGAGTTTGCATTCCTTGTAACAAAGAAAATGAACCGGCTTTAAATGCAATCAAGCGTAAGTTTTGAGCATGAACACTTAAATTTTTTGAAAAGAAATCACGAACAACAATTTCGGCAATCATTTTGTTCTTTTACCAAAGAAAATCGATCAAAAAGAGACGACTCAAGGCTTAAGGTCAAAACATACCCAAAAGGCACTTGGAAAAGGTCAAAGAACGAAAGATAGCCGAAAAAGACCAACTTGTTCCGAATTTCAAAAAATTATGTCTAGATCTTCGAAGCAAGGAGTAATTTATGTATTTCACACCTATTGCATTTTAATTAACATCCTTTTAAGCAAACGATTTTGTATCAAACTTGAAATGAAATCAGAAGTTACGCAAAAAATTAATCTTGAGCGCGAAAAATTTTCTAATTTCAAAGAACAGTTTAAGTTTGGTACTAAGTTACTAAATTTCGATGATAAATTACGATAAATTTGATAAGTTGAACTGTATGAAATAATTTATTTGAGAAAATTGGACTAATAGGTGAAGTTTTTCTTCCCGTAGGAAATCTGAATTTAAAAATCAAGTTCTAAATTAGAAACCGATACCGTTTTCGTGACCTTTACACTTTTGCTGTTCGATAGTGAAGTTTGCCTTCCTTTTAACAAAGGAAATGAACTGAAAGTTTTTCGTTTTAATATATAATTGTTCAGACAGAAGTGTCACAGCACTCATTTCGCTTTAAAATCTACTGAAATTAAAGACCCTGCATAAGAACTAATCTAAACATTTTTCTCCTTTCGATAACATGAAAGCATTAAAGTAGCTTACTGGCATTTCGTTTCTCTTGGTCTTCATTTATATAATAATCGGTAGCTGATCGACTAGATTGACAAAGGATGCACACAGACGTACATCATAATCTCACTAACTTTTCCTTGACCGAATCAAGGATCTTCTTCTATTTTTCAAAACTAGACTGAGCCTCTTTTAAATTCATTTTCAAGTCAGATATCTGATCGAAAGAGAACTTCGCTATCCATGTACATAGGAGAACCATTTCTCTTATCGATACTGCAAGTAAAACTGCTTAGGAACTATACCTTAAACATCATGATTATGAGACGAAACAAACTCAAAATTAAAGTGAAGAGCAGTTCACAACATGGAACACATTGATTAGGTCAACTTAGTTCATCACCATCTTCAAGAGCAAAACTGCTCAATTTGATCATTATGAAAACATAGTTAACAAACACATAAGCACGTTCTTCAGTTCATCGGATTAGAATTTGACCAACTTATCAAGGGCCGTATGCGACTAATCATGAGTCTTCTTATGAACTGGGTTGAGTGAAGTCCATACATAATAAGTAATCTATATTTAAATGCAAGTATATATGTATCTGTGAAATGCTATCTGACTTAACAGATACATGGAAAATATACTGTAAGAGATGAAGTGAACCTCTTTTCTCAAGGGTCAACTAAAATTAAAGTAACTATTACGGTTCACTTTTATCCATCTAATAGAAGGTATACATAAAAACCATAGGTAAGAGGCGGCAACAAGGAAACAAGAAAATTTTTATAAGTATCTTAATATCAAACATCTTTTTTTAAAAACATTTACATGATAGCATTTAGGTTTCCTTGAAGCCGGCGAGTCCCATCAATGCAGCTGATAAATGTTTAGGGTAGCATTAGTTGGATTGGTTAGCAGTAACAGTTCAAAACGACAATCAACACGTCACAATAAGTCTGTAAATGTCAGTCTCAAAAGTCGGCGGAGGGCCAGATTTCTTCAGTAATGAAGCTCTGACACTTTTGGTATAATCAAGGAGCCTCCGTATCATAGATAGTCCTTCTGCCACGCCTAGTCATAAGCACGAGAAGTGAAGTCCGTCCAGGAGCTCTTGTTGCTGGTTTCGAAGCTCGATCTGATCCATAAGCATCATTTGCATGCTAGTCGCTTCCTCGAAGGATACCAGAGCAGCGATGTTTCCCATTTCGGCCGCCAGTGGGTTTCGTCTGTTGTTCACTTGATCTTGTTCAACCAATGAAATGCTCTCAATTAGCTCTGTCATTACCGCATTCAAGTTCCTGTTTTCCGATTGGACAGCTGGAGAGGAGCTGCCTTTCAGTTGGAACTCTTTACACTTCAGATCTTTGGCCAGATTCCTGAAGCAGATTAGATTAAAGGTTATTTCGATATCCAATAGTCAGAACATTTAAAACTCAGTATTTTTGTGTTTTGGAAGTTCTTCAGAATTTCTGTCAAAATTCGAATACAAATAAAAATAATGTGTTTTAATTCCAATTAGTCTTATGTTAAATTATCAATTTCAAACTTTTACCCTTTATAAGTTTTGTTAGCCCTTTGCGAAAACAATTTAACGTCTAAATTCCGTTTTATTGGATCCGTCTAATTTGCTTATCGTCTAATTTCCTAACCCCCCTCTTTTCTATCTGAAATAACTTGAGAAAATGGTTCAGAGCAGTTAGTTGAACAAATAAACAATCATATGATACGGTACACACATGATTCGGCTCATCGGAAGTTTTTTTCTCTGTAATTGTCCTGATTACAACACTTCATTATCTCTCAGATAAATTTGAAGCTGAAAAATGGAAAAGAGTTACGAACGTAAAGGAAACCGAAAAAAAACTGACTTGTTTTTGAAAAAACTTGAACTTTTGAATTTCGAAGAAAAAAATAGATGGCCGTGCAGCTCTTTGAAATTGTGAAACAATTTATGATTGACACTTCTTGATAAAATAAATCCAATTTGAGAAAACTGGATCAATAGGTAAAATTTTTATTTCGCTGGGAAATCTGATAATTCCCATTTTCGAAATTAGAAGTCGATCACGTTTTTTTGCAATCTTTACATTTTTGCAGTTCAATAATCGAATTTGCCTTTCTTTTACCAAAAGAAATGAACTAAACTGAAAAAGAAATCAACAGCCAAACCGCGAAAAATCAAAAATGAGCGTGACAACTATTAAGACTTTTTCTGAAAAAAATCACCAAGACCTACACAAGAGTACTCATTACGTTCATTACTCTTAAACAAAAGCGCTTGACACTGAACCACACAAAACTTCATTGCATATTCTACGAACAAAAATCCGTATAGACTGTTGCGCCTGTCAGTTGTTCGAGTCTTATTAGTCGGAATGAGCTAAGAAGTCCAAGATGAATCATTGGTCAGATATAATTTTCATACAAGAAGGTGTATCACAAGGTTCCCTTCTCGAACCCTAACTATTTTACATCTACCTCTTGCTTTTAAGTTAGTCTAGTCTTCATTGGTTTTAGATTACCAAATACTTGATTACATATATTGATATTACAGAGTTAGCTTCAAAATATCCGGTACTGCATCTCTGGCCACAAAAAAACTAGCTAACTTCCGACAACTTGCAAATCATTGTGAAGTTAACGAGATTGAAGAGTGTCTTCAGTCCAAAAACCTGCTAAGCCTTTTAGGAGCTATCTTAAATCATTAAATTCTATAGCCTCGCGCTCACTCGATTGTTTATTGACAGTACCCTAATCTTGAACCAAATAAACGCAGTTGGTTCTGGTTTTTACTATCTAAGATTACTACTAACAATTATTTAAATGTAAAATGTTGATGCGATGATTACCTTAAGCCGAAAATTTCTCTTCGCGCTAGGATTACTGAATCAGTGTCCACAATACTTCCAAATTATGTACATATAAACTAAAACCCTTAAAAAAGAACGACTAATTTTTCAATTTTTTCTCCTTCTTTCGAATCATGAACAAAAAACATCACGTCAAAGCTCTTTGCATTTCAAGAACCTTACATGATGGGCTCTTTTTATGAAATTTGCGCTGGCTTGTGTATTTAGTATACAAAAAATCAATGCATTCGGTTCAACTAACCGATTACACTAACAGACACACAAGAGATTTATGACTAGCTGCTACTAATAAATTCGATAAGCAAGCTTCAACCGTGGGGTATGGTCATGCATTCCCCCACAGTTGGTCATGCATTGAGCAGGACCGGGGTCTAATTAAGGACCGGGGTAAAAATAATAATAATAAGCAAGCTTCAATTCACGCTCAAGTCATTCAAAATACCAATGATAACGGAAAAATTAAAAAAATATTTTTTTTTTGTAGATGAAAGTAGTCAATACATTCTGCTAATCTTATCACCGCTTGCTTCTTCTTTATGTAGTGCTATGCTACCCTTCATTTTGTTGATCTGTTTTGAAGTTAAGGATTGGGTAATTTTGGAAGCAACTAGAAAATCAATTTATAATATCTTTGCAAATCACTTTGCTAACAATAAGCATCATACGCAAGTTTTCATGAGTAATCACGACCCAATCACAAAAACACTTTTAGTTCAAAACTGCTTGTTGGATAAATCGAACCATGCGTTTAACTTTTGTGGGTACATGAATATATCGACAAATTATAAATTGAATTTCCACTAGTTCCTGCCTTTTTCGTCTCAAGTATGGGCAAAAATTCTGCGCCAAATGGACAGAAACAATCATTTATTTTGAATTGATTCTCAACCAAGCTATCACATGATTCACCGATTCTGTTAATCAATATTTTACCGAAAAAAATATATGCTCAGTTATGATAGCTAACGCAAGCGTAATTATGAGGATATGCAGAAACGCTTGGTATACAAGACTACCCTGAGCCCCTAGTACTTACAAATATCCTCTGTGGATGACAGCCTCAATTTTAGGTTCCTCCAATGCATTGAATTGGATAGACTCCAGGGTTGCATTGGAGATGAACTTTTCCATACTGTCAAACACGATCTTGTCTCCTTCAGTCAAATTTGCAGGCATCCAGAACTTCCCTGACAACGCATCCAGATCGTCACCAACGCATCCAAGAATGGTAAACTCCTTCTTTAGGTTTTCATCACACTCCGAAGCACCTGGTCGAAGGGCCCAAGGTTCAGACATTCGATATTCACTATACTGCATGAGACCAGAAAAGGAGCCGTAAACACTGTCGGTTATACTGCAAACACCCTTGTCACCACAGGACTTCGAAACGGTAACAACAACTTTCAGGACCTCGCTCATCAACCAATCAGAGGCGTCCGCTATGACAGTCAGCTTTGGCCAAATTTCAAAGATCTTCGATTCCAGCATTGAGTTGATTTTGGCGACATGCTGAAAAATTCCAATTAATTTTGAAAGGCCATAATTATTGTTCTAAAAAAATATTCAAACTCAATCCCTCTATCACCTGGTCTTTGAACGAATTATCGCTATCTGCAGTAGAAAGACCACCCAAGTTGAGAAACTCAATAGCACATCCAAGGGATTCCTAAAGATAAACTAAGACAACTTTATCACTACAAAATAAAAAATATATCTTGCTTTTCAGTTTACTAACCGCATATTTCATGGCAACGATTGTTCTGTTAAAAATTTGTTCGATCTCCGCCTCATTGGAACACGCTGATACATCACACCTTAAATCAACTTTTCGTTTTCTAAGCTAGTTTGACTCCTTTAAGAATAATTTAACCCAAAAAATGACCAGCCGTTTTTTGGGTATAGCAAATAAAAAATGTACCCAATTCCCAAAACATTGATGTTTTTCTTCGCTGCGCAATCCAGAATTGACTTGTAGTACTCTTCATTCTTGTTCCACGACACCTTCACAATCACTCTAAAAACTCTCCATATTAAAAAAAATGAAACTTCAACACAGAGGCGAGGCTGCGACTTCGCAAACACAAGCAGTAAAACCGCGAACACTAGTTCTAAAATGTTTTTTTTTAAAAAAAAACAAGGATTGCCGGTTTCTGTGCAAGTAGCACAGAATGTTCCGACAATAGTCTTAACAAAATACAAAACTTTTTTTTAAAATTAATGACGTTTTTTTCGGCGTGGTGTGATAAAAGGATCTGAAAGGAAAAAACATAGCCAACTGACACTTGGAAAAAAGTAATGAACGCAAGGAAACTAAAAAAAAAACGACTTGTTTTTTCAAATATCTTCAACTTTTGAATTTCGGAAGAAATTAGATGGCCTTAAAGCTCTTTGAATTTTTAGAACAATTTATGGTGGACACTTTTTCGTTAAAATTAGCCCAATTTGAGAAAATTGGATCAATAGGTATAACTTTTATTTCGCTGGGAAATCTGATAATTAATTTCCATTTTCAAAATTAGAAGTCGATCACGTTTTTCGTGACTTCAAGTTTGCTGTTCGATAGTTGAGTTTGCCTTCCTTTTAGCAATAGAAATGCATTGAACTTGAAAAAAGTCAAACCGCGAAAAATCAAAAATGAGCGTGAACAAATTTTAAAACTTTTTCCTGAAAAAAAAATCAGCAAGACCTATATAAAAGTCTTCACTACGTTGATTCCTGTCAATATTACGGAGAAAACGCTTTCAGAACTGGCACAATTGTTTTTGGAAAATTGAACGAAATCTAAATTTGGGTCAAAAAGTCAAATATGTCTGGCATCCATTGTGAATTCCTTGCCACACTTAGGAAAAAACCATTATGCAGGCCATGCCTCTACATCATGTTCTTTCGATTGAATGTTTACTCTCAAATTTGTCACCGTAATTTTGGACAAAACCAAAAAACATCCAAAAACGGTTACTATTATTATTTCAAAACTTGGACTTTAAGGATTAGAGCTCACCCGCTATGCAGAGAAAAATCCAAACACCTATTCTTTCTTTTAAACCCTTTATCTCAGATTTGATAGGATAATTTCCGAGAAAAAACAAGTTTCCAAAAAAATGGCCCAAAAACTTCAATACTTTTACATTTTTAAGGCGATAACTGTAATTTATCAAAATTTATGGCGAAACCAATTTTGCGAAGAAAATTCACAAAAATGTTCTTACGATTAACATCAGATTTGGCTGGGCAGTTTTTGAGAAATGTCAAAAAAGTCAACAAAATTTTCAAGCTTTCCAAATTGGACAATTTCTGTAGCCATAACTATTTTAGGATTCCTGACACCGGTTTTTTGCGATTGATCCCTTAATCGAAATCAAAAATTGTCAAAAAATATTTTAGGTTAGTTTAATGAGAAAAATCAAAAGTTCACAAAAAAGGTCAAGTTGTCATCAAAATGCCTTTTTCTCCAAAAGGTAGAGTGTATGCCGGTTACGCAGAGAACATTACTATAACCTATTAATTCGATTGAATCTTAAATCGTGAGAGTTGGGAGGGTAAAATACGAGAAAGGTCAAAAAATTTTAAAAAAAATTCTCTTGAGGCCATAACTTTATTTTACAAAATTAGGCCGTAGCCGCTTATGCAGTTTGAGAAAATCCAAAAAAAATTGAAAAATGATCCAAAATTTCCCTTCCCAGAGTTTTCGAAGGCTGTAGCAAGTGGAGTAAGGTAAAAAAAGAGAGAGTAGGTGATTATGTAAGCACAAAAGGGTAGCGTTCGGTCTTTCTATTGGTAGCAGCTTTTCAAATATAGGCCAAGTGGTTTCTGAGAAAAACATTAGTTTTTGTGAAACAAATCCAAAGCGTCCAGAAACCAGATCCATATATTTTCGTACCCGTTCCTATCAAACAGGAGTTTTCATAATACCTGTTTTTATTATAAAAGTACTAGCCACCAAAAATCAGAAACAACGATATAATGCTAAGAAACAACGATATAATGCTAAGTAAACCAAATATAATTCTGCAAAAGGGCCACCAAATTAACGAGCATTTTTTCTTTCGACTTTTGAGTTCGTGATATGTGGGAAACAAGTGGAGTTCGTGATATGACATTACGCTCCGCTTGTGTATCTATATCAACTATTATGCTATATTTAGTCCGTAATTTTCGTACCTAGAGTTGACCGCCCCGAACGACTCGATTTGTTTCAGATCTTTTTCGTTGTTCGCGGCTACAACACAGTTTTGCGCCACAGCCGCTTTCAAACTGGATTTAGGCTGGTTCTCTCCATCGAACACAACATTTCGAGTTTTGACACCAGAATTACCGGCAGACAGCAAATCCCGCTAAAATTCCAAATCATGAGGTTAGTGTCCAGGCAAAATTGACTCATTTCATTAAGCTGCTAATTTTGGCTTTAGACAACTGTACATTTCGAGCATCTTATCGATTAGAAACAGAAGCTCATCGGTTAAACGAAATTAACATTGAAATCATTCATTTGAAACAATCGAAAAAATGATGACGAATCGATAAACACCAAAAAGATGAAACAGCAATTCAGTTAATACAGGAACTCGGTATAACGTTCAGCTGATATTATTATGTCACTCATCAGAGATTTAAGAGAATCAAAAAAACTTCTTCAAATGAATCTAACCTCGCAATTTGAGCTTACCTTGTTAGAGCATGTAAAGCCAACTCCTAGATTCTTGACTAGCGGAGAAACTCCGAATTTGCTGTAACGGAGGGAGAAGAGAGGCTGCACTTGAGGGAAAATATCTCGCCATGACTTCAAGTTGTAACTCAAAACTCCGAAGTCACAGATCCACGTGACCGGAGACTAAATTCAACAGATCAGTTTTCAACTAAGGAAACCCGAAACTGGACAATACTCTCCAAAACACCGAAACTGGACAATCTAAAGATGCTACCTTAAAAGCTTGGTTGCATTAGATTTATAGATATGAGCGATCCATAAACCTCAATTCTGCTGTACAATATATGCTATGATACCTGTAAAAATAGTAATGACACCTCCAATTGCCTGTCTACGTGTTTTCATCAAACAAAAACAATCATCTAATGAAAAATTTGAAGATGCAAAGCTCATTGTGAAACTCACATTTTGAGATAGTTCTTGAATCATGGTCTGGTTAGACTGTTGGTGGAGGCATTCTTGCAGTACAGTGTCAAAGTAAGCTAAGTGGTTGTAGTCAAGTTTAATATCTATCAGCTGCATGATGGGACTCGCGGGAAAAGTTCTAAAACGCGCTTATTCATCGACGTTTTTCTTGTATAAAAGTTTTATTTTAAAAAAAAATTGAGAACAAACTACTGTTCACGCCCAGCCCGGATCAGGATCCCACGGCAACTCCGCGTTGAAATCAACCTGATCTCTGTTCCTTGCAAGTGTTTCCCAGCGTTTGGCTACCTTGCCAACGAAAATGGCCTGAACAAAAAAATTTCATTGTCATATTCTTACGCCCAAGGAACAAGCATTATAACATGCACTTACTGTATCGGAACAGCAGAGGTCCGCCAAAGAAAATATTATTTCTTCGAACGGCTGAATTGTTGAAACTGTAAATTGAATTTCACAAATACGTAAATCCTGAAATCAGAGAAACAATAAGGGTCATAGAAACAAATGTTTTAATTGCTTCAAAAACGGTCAATTAAGTGGGTCTGTGCTTTAATTAACTTCAAACACGATAATTTCATATCAAACTATTCAACCCAAAAACAACAGAGCGGCAGAAATGGAAAACTATAAATAACACTAGAAACTAAAAAAATCATCCTATAAAATTGGACTGCAGAAAAACCCTTTTGGTGAAACGATAACCACTAACTTTAAAATGGCGAACTTACTCAAATACAAATTTTCGAGATTTGGATGTTTTCTTGAGAAAAAAATATAAGCATTGCAGAAGAAGTAATCCACAGAAACACTAGAACAAGTGAACATGGCAAACAACAATTTTTTTTCCGGTTTACAAGATGTTGCGTGTAAGAATGAACTCATTAATCTCTTTTTGGTTTATCACGAATTTACAAGTAAATTTGAAATTTTTTTTGAAGAAAAATTTGAAGAAATTTGAAGATCAAATATACAAACCAATACTAAAGAGGCTAGAGAAAAAATAGAAAACATTGCTCTTGATCCGGATGAAACCATAATATCTCTTGATGTGAAAAGATTGTACACCAACGTTCCCCTGAAAGAGGCAATTGAAATTGCTCTACAGAAGCTGTACAGCCAGGAGTCTCCTCCTGAAATTCAAAGAGCAACCATGAAAAGGCTTTTGAATATGGCGGTCAGCAAAGTATATTTCAAGTGTAAAGATTCATGGTATGTACAAGTTGATGGTTTAGCAATGGGCGCGTCCCTCGCTGTAATTCTGGCGAACTTATGGCTGAAAGAGTACGAATTTGCTCTACGACAACAAATACCGGTGGGAACGGGGGTACAGCAAATTAATGACAAAAACGGCTTGTGCCCATGTTGCAGCAGGAAAGTCACATATAGATCAAAGGGGGTTGAATGCGAGAGTTGCCGAAACTGGTATCATCTAAAATGCGGAAAAATATCCGATGACGTATACACATCAATAACCGAGATAGTCTGGTACTGCGAAAGCTGCTGCCGAACTAAGAACAAGGAGAAGGATACTCCCCAGGTGAAATTGTTCCTCAGGTATGTGGATGACATTGTTAGAACAGTCAGAGGGGAGTCGAGTTGTCTTCTCGATGCCGCCAATTCTCTCCATCCAAATTTGCAGTTCACTCTAGAGAAAACTAATTCGGAGGGGAATTTGCCGTTCCTGGATTTGAACATAAATGTATCGCAGGGTAGGCGTGTAACTTGCAGTTGGTATCAAAAACCAACAGATACAGGAACTATACTGAACTATAGAAGCTGCGCCCCAACTCAGTATAAGCGTAGTGTTATCCAAGGCACTGTACACAAGGTTTTTAGGAGTACATCTAGCTGGGAGCAATTTGATAACTCTATGGAAACTAATAGGGCGCAATGGCTGACAAATCAGTACCCTGAAAATTGGTCCGCAAAGTTGGTTTCAGACGCCTTGTGCAAGATCATCGAGGGTAAGGGCAAGCCCCTGGATAGTGACAGGGGTTTGTCAGTTCAATCACCAAAGGATGGGAAGCCCCCAATGCTGATGGTGCAAACTAGAGGTAACCAGAGCCAATATTTTGCTAACAGGTTACGAAAATTAACTAACGTTCAAGTGGTTTTCACCACAAGAAAACTACAATCATGTTTACCATCACTGAAGTCAGCATTTTCTAATGACCTCAAGTCAAGAGTGGTTTATAAACTGTCATGTAGTGGATGCACTTCCACCTATGTCGGACAAACTGTTCGACATTTGACCACTAGAATTGAGGAGCATAAGAAAGCAGACACACCGGTAGGCCTCCACCTTCAGCAATGCCAACTTGAAGGAAATAGCGCAGATCTTAGTTGGGAAATTATAGATAGGTCAAACAACCAAACAAAATTGCTAACACTAGAGGCAATACATATCAGGAAAGAGAAACCTGGCTTGAACACGCGCGATGAGTTTAGGAGCAAGGAGTTAACACTGAAAATTTAATCCCAAAATATTTTTGGTTTTTTATTCAAAACGTACATGTCTAAATCGAAATTATGACTCATAAACTTCCAGACAAAGTAATTTAAAAATATTTGATTAATTTTAGAGGTTAAAGGTATTTTAATCTTAATAGTAATTTAGAGGTCAACTGTGATTGGCTAATTTTTTATCATGATGGTTTAGAATCAAATTGTATGTGATTTATTGTAAATAACATTTGTAAATTGATGTTTTATCGTCATTTAGAGTAGTTTATTGTAAAAATCCTGACGATGCACATAGTTGCGAAAACGTTTGAAATTTACTTTTTAGCAAAAATTTCTTCATTAATCTCATTCAGAATAAACCACCTGGACAATCTAACATATCAGCGGGGACTTTAAAACATGGATGCAATGAAATATACGCACACATCACATTTCTCATAAATAAATGCATAAAAATCAATTCATTCCCAGCTATACTCAAAAAAAAACACTGTAAGCGCAATATACAAAAGGACCCAAAAATAGCTGAGAAATATAGACAAATCTCAATAACAGGTCCACTCTCAATTTTTTTGAAAAGTTATTTTACAAACAGATCAATGAATATCTTTTGATTAATAACCAGCTCGTTAACACACAATATGCTTTTAGATACTCTTATTCAACAATTGCCTCAATTCTTTATTGCACTAAATTTTTCCGCAAGTCAATGGATAAAAACACTTTCGTTGCTGTATCTCTATTGGTTGTATCCAAAGAATTCGATTCAGTTTGTCATGATCATTTTGAGAGTAAACTGAAGGATTTGGAATTTTGTGAACCAGCATTGACTATGGTTCATAGTTTCGTGAGCAATAGCCAACGAGAAACTGTATCAAACAACACAGAATCCAATTGAACCTCACTCAACCTGCGTAAGGTACACTTTTGAGACCTTTAATCTTCAACCTATAAACCAATGACTTGAAAGAACATCTAACCATAAAGTGCAAATTAATGCAAAATGCAGACGACACTCTCCTATTTTGCGACGATAATATTGTTGATAAAGTATTGCAGATAATACAGGAATCATGTCAAAAATTGTCTCTAAGTTTTCAAGACACTTTTTAAAACTCAATACAAGCAAAACTGAACTGATCATTTAAGCAAAAAACATCAATATACAAGCAACAATGTGAAAATCAGTATGATTTTAGATGATAGTATAACGGAAAAAAGCACAAGTCAGGTAAATGGGGGTAATTTTCGATCAATTTGTCACATTCCAAGTAAATTATCAAAAATCAAAAATTATCTACAATCAGCATACCCAAAAACCAAACACAAGCACGACATAGATGATCAGAACAAAAATTTTAAAAATTACACCATAAAGAAAGATTCAGCCGTCATTATATCAAAAACTGTTCTTTTCAGAAAATCAGTTTAAATATGGAACCAAATTGAAAGCACAACTGAAAACCCTAATGTTTGACCTTAATTTTCGGGGTAAATGATCATTTTTGAAAATATCGAATCGACTATGTAATGCTCAAGTTTATCGCCGCAACTGAAAGAAGAAGTAAAAAAAAATTTAAAAAAATTCAGATATAATTGCAAGAAAGTTGACCAAAAATTGTGTTTTTCGCAATTTCACTGAAAAATTCAATTCGAGTAAAACTGTTTTGTTCCCGACAGAGAACATCACAAATTCCTAAGAGAGCTCCATCGTTAGACAAGAGAAAATCTTGATTGGGCAAGTCGACGAGCGAAGCTGCTCGAAGGTCCAGATAACAAAATGTCAAAAAATATGGATGCGCTCTTGAGAAGTCCTTTTAATTTATAATGGAAGCAACATCTATGCAAAGACAATGATAACGTGTGATGATGTTCTGATCTTCGTGGGTCGAGAGAAGATCAAGGTCAGGTCAATTGGACAATGCGCAATGCTTGAAGATGGGCTATGCATTTGGGCACGGAAGCAGAGGTGTCTGCTCATGTACTGGTATAAATGAAAAAAAGACATCTTTAAAAAGGTTACTAAACACGAGAGCTGTCTTGAGAGTGATACCAATAGAAACATGGAGACGGATGGGATATGACAAAGATGACCTGTTAGGCTCCAGAATCCGGCTATCAGCAGCAAACAAAGGGGCACTAGGGGTTCATGGCAGAACACCAAGAAAAGCATGGAGTTTGGGGGAACGCAATCTGTGTATGAGCTTTCTTGTAGTGGAAAATCTAGATGATTCGAATAACTTCATTTTGGCAGGGACTTTACCAGAGCGTTTGATGTAACAATAGATCTTAACAATGCGGTGTTCAGGATTCGAAGTCCGGAAAGGAAGAACGTAATAAAACCGGTAGGTTTGATAAAGACACAGGAGTGCCAAACTCAGGTTTTCTTTAGTAGGAGGGTGAGGTTGGAAGCCAATGAGGCTGCATTTGTAAACTTGAGAAAGAAGAACTACAATGAACTCAGCGATATTAAACAGATTTGTGTAGTATCAAAAACAAATAGCCAAATTGCTGTTATTTTAGGACGATCAATCTGAATCACAAAAAGTGGCATCTGCGTCAGTTTCTTGTCGAATACTTTGATATACCAATCACAACCCTGAGAGGTAGGAAACTGGGATACGCATTGCCGGTAAAAACTAGATATAAAACGATTGAAAAAATTTTAAAAACATATAAAATTCTTGATTGTATGAATCATAAGGACAAGATTTGTATCTTGAGTAGATTGAAGCGAATAAACGTTTTATCGGCTGTCATCAATTCGCTTAAGTCAGAGACTGACAGTGCAATGTCGACGAGTTGTTCCAACTCTCCTGAAAGACCGACACCAGAGGAATTGGAACTGGAGAAACCGCTAAAACCCGAAATTGAACCTTTAAGGGGAAAAAATAACGGACGAACAGCTCTATGCCATCAAGGATGTGTTAGATAGGAATCAGGATGTTTTCTCGAGACACAAGGCGGATATCGGGTGTTGTAACTTTCTTGAACATGAAAAACAATTAGAAGAGTTGGCGGTACCGCATAGGGAGGG